ATTTTGTTTTTATGCTTGTTAACCCCAAAATAGTAGTCGAAGATTGAACTAAATTTAGTAAGGCTCAGAAAACCTTCGCTTAACTAAAGCATATTCAACCGCTTCATGGACCACACCGTTTACAGGCATGATGATGTATTGTCTAAATAATAGTAATAAAAAATTTCGGAATAAGTCGGACAGGTGCGGAAGGAATGGGTACCAAGATGCTGACGCGCATGCGCGTCAGCCTGTCGTCAACGTGGTAACACATTGTGCGTGTATCCTGCCCCCTTTTTGTTTACTTATTTTCACAATCATCATAATTTTTCAATAGTTTCATAATTGATGCACAGTTTTTCGGATGATGTCGTTAAAGGACGAATTCACGCTGGAAAGGCAACCCATTTCAAATTAACCTAGGGATGGTGAGTGGTACACGAAAGAAGGAAGAACCATGAGAAACGGCCCAGAACCCGAGAAATGGGACCCCTTCCTTGCCCGTTGATTTGAGCATTGATGCGACTCTCATCGCTGTGCCCTCTTCAACACTACGCTCTCTCTGCTATCTAATCACTCGCCACGTATAGATCAGATGATCGGTGGGCGTACACCGGCCAACCGCGCCAAGATTGAGCCATGCTAGGTCGCCGAGGTCAAATCTTTCGTGCCAATTGCGCGTCAGTTCGCACCCTCAGGAGGTCCGCGGGTCCCTCAACTAGGTGAATTACTCCTTCTTCGACCTTCATTCTAATCGTGAATTCCTCCTTTAATAGAGAATGAAGAAAATGCAGAAGGTATGTTTTACAGGTCGATTTTATAAATTCATATCACACTAGATTTGTCTACAGGCGCCTGACGGGACTCTTCTTTCCCTACTATGCTAACGCCCACTGTGCTCACTTTGCTTGTCAATTCAATACTTCGTGGTGGAGATTCGTACGCACAAAAAGGTGTCTTGCATAGTGGAGGGCCTTGTAACCATCACGATCACGCTGGAACAGTACCTCAAACAGCAATTTCGATCTTAGTTTTATTAGCTGTTGGATTCTTTCCTCCCGCCGTCCACGTGCCCACTTCAGCAGTGTGGAATCACCGAGTGCGATCACCGTCAGTGGATCTTCACATTGAAGCGAGAGGTGCTATCACAATCATGCCATCACAAAACTTTGATACCCAGAGACACGGCTTCTCAGTTCTCGCGTACGTTAGATCTATGCGTTTAGCTGCCATTCGCGTCGTACTTGACCCAAGAGTGCTCCTCTGTTATGCATGGGTGGGGGACCGCGCGCTCGGCTTCCAACCATGCGTTCAAAGTGCCAAAAGGCCTTCGCCCACGCTTTTTAGCACACCTCTTGGCTGCTTCGTGGGTGGTGTGGGCTCAAGATGGTGTCTTGGCGAGGCAGGATCAACCGCCCGTTGCGCAAAGACCAATGAGGAGAATCGTATTTGGCCAATTGAGGTGGGGGGTCGTAAGTTCAGTACTAGTCACAAAATTTTAGAGGTACCAAGGCAAAAGCAAGGGAGTACTGACTTTTATCTACCACTACTAACTACTAATCACAAACAATTGAATGGTACCCAGAGCAGGACATCTTGTTGAACCACTTCATACTTCAGTGAGCCGAGCGGACAAAACAAATTATTCCAAGAACCACGACGCGTTCAGATGAAATCAAAGTGGAGGGAAATGCAACAAATTCGGCGGTTGACATCTAGGGTCCTAGTGGGAAAATGACAAGAGAATGGTTCATTTTGAAGCTTTCAGAGGAAAATAGTATGCACCATGGAACAGTGGTCTTGTAGGTTTCAACGGTTTTACCGCTTCTTATCACACAAATTTCGAAGGTACTTGTGAGCGTTTGAAGGTTTGGAAACTTCGTGTTTCAGGAAAATGGCCTAAGAAATCCATGGAGAAAAGGCACAACGGGACTATTCTTCAAACAGCGGCCCTTTCAGAAAAGTTTCAACATTTTTCCAAAGCCCAATTTTCTAGTTTCTAATGTGCCTTAGAGATCTGCGAAGAGTTGGTTATGAAGCGCGTCATGTTTAACACTCGCGCGTTTTCAAAAATCGGATCATGAACCCCTGAAAAACGGAACAACGGGAGACAAGATGTTAACGATGCACTTGGCTTAGATTCGCAGTGAGTTTTTTCTCAGAGGCAGTAGTTCAAAAAGTCACTTGAACGAAAGCGAGAGCCTTGAGTATGATAAGAGTGGTGGTCGGATATCGGGCGTTGCCACCGACTAGCCAAAAGTTCTGATTGAGGCACTCGTGCGTAAGACCATAGGAGGAGTTCTGCCCAACCTGGACGTATATGGTTTGTGGAGCCAAGCTATACGGAAGTAGCTGGAAAGTCCAAAAAATTTGATAGGGGCGTGCCGCGACAAATCACCAATTTGAAGGTCGTTAATCAAATTCTAGCTTGTTTTATGTGATGTAAATGCGACTCGCCTTTGTAGGATTTGCGATGTACAATGGAGAGCGGATTTTTTCCTATGGCCGACGAAGCCTTGATGAAAAGTGCATCAGTGCAAGCTCAGCAAACTTTGCATAAAGAATTGTGCTTATATTGTGCTGGAGGAGGGTCATGGCGGCTTTCATAAGGTCAGCGCGCCGGCCAAAAGTTAAATGGTCAGTACGTAAGCAAACCAGCCCTTTTGGCGCGTTCGGCCTTTTTTTTTTGTTTTTTTTTTTTTTTTTTTACGGGACAGTATGCTGAATGTTGGGGAGGGGATGGAGTCCCCGACGGTGGACGGATCACTTCAACTCGGTCCTTAGAACCGCCACAATTTGGTGCTTACCTCAGAACTAAGCCTTAAAGAGAGGACGGGTCCGTCCCCTCTCCAAGGCTTAGTCCTGGGGTGAGCAAACCAGCCCTTCTGGCGGAGCTGCTGGACCAGCTGCACCACTTGCGTCAGTACTCTCCTATCGTACCAACCGAGTTGAAGTAAACCGTCGACCGTTGGGGACCCCATCCCCTCCCCAACATTCAGCATACGGTCCCAGCCGAAACGCCAAAAGGGCTGGTTTGCTTACCTCGTGTCAGGTGGAACGTCACAGTGGAGGAGAACTCTCAACATTATGTCAAAATTCACCAAAAACTTCAAAATACGGGTTCAGCATTTCTCATTATAAAGGGACGGACACATCTCTGACAGTTGTCTTACACGCATGTCGCACAACCAACCCTGCACAAGTTGGACCAGCTAGGCTAAGGAAGGGGTGCTGCAGATATCCTACTCAGTATACCTCTGGCCACCAACTGTCACTTTTTGGGGGCCTCGATGGTTCTTTCAAAACAAGAGTGAATGCCTCAAAACACAACCCGATGCTAAAACGACCTTTCCTCAGTTCATCGCCTCTAGAGCTCCAACATTCTGAACAAACGTGATCCACTGAAACAGTGCCTTATAGCGGAAGGTTAGCGCATTCAAACGGTTTTTATTTCAACATGAATTGGTTGGTGGTTGGTGAAATGGTTTGGTTTGATCCGAGATACATGTACTTGAAATTCGGGGTCGAAAAACGACAGAACTTTCTGAGACGCCCAATATTATGGTTTTGGAGATACATGTTGGAGAGCCTCGCTGCTGTGTTGTGGTGTGGCGCGAAATGGTTCCTTTTTGACATTTATCAGGATATTAAAATAAAATAAAAGAAAATAAAATAAACAAAATGAATCAAAATAAAATTAATAAAATATTAATGCTAAAAGATGAGAAAAGAAATCGAAATTTATACACTGATTATTCATGCAGGGGAGCATGCAGTAAATTATTCGTATTCGAAATTCTCGGTTACAAAGAGGAGACGGTCAAGAGTCCCCCGCGACCGCCGTCACCGCGCGCGACGTCGCCAACGTTTTTGCAGTTTGAAACATAGGCAATTGCCAAGGTTTAGGACCCGCTCTCTAGACGATCGATACAACACTTTTTTGTTCCGTCTGTGTAGTCCCCATTTCTGCATTTGTTTTTGCTTAGTCCTAGCAAATTGCCACGTTCCAACTTGTAAGGACCGGTAGCCGCCGCGTGCGGTGACCTACTTTCGCTTGCGCGGCGACTCAGGGGGACTCTTGTCTCGCATCCGCTACAAAGTATGTAAAATAGTTCGCATTCAAGACTTGATAGGGGTAGAATGCCGAGGTGAGTTTGATACTAACGGAAAGCTCTCCCTTGAAGAAAAAAACAAGTTCAATCCATTTTATTAGATGCCGCCGTACTGAGAGGTGTGCAATGCCGGGTTACATCAACGTCAACCCAAAAGGCCCAATACCACCGGAATCTACCACTGGTCGGAGGGCCGCCGGTAAGCAGAACGTTACTAACAAACCGGCGCCGGGTGTTCGCCGTAAACCTAGTACTCCACCACCTGCAAAAGAAGCCGTTGCCACCACTCCACCTCTGGCTGGTAGACCAACCGTATCGCCAGTGAGTTTTCAGCTAATTCGATCAGGTTTTTCTCCTGCGTCGCTGTGATCAAATTACATTCTGTATTCTTGGGTGGGCTTGGATTCATAGCTTAGCTAGCTCCTAAATCTATAGCCGTTTTTCAGCCGCCTGCAGCAGTTAAATTACCCGTTACCGGTGAGCCACCTACCGCCGGTCAACCACTTGCCATTGCAATAGCGGTTGGTCCGTCGATTGCAACAGGTTCAACTCCCCAGGGTGCCAAAGACGCATCAGTTGTGAGTTTTCGTGCCCTTCATGTTCGAAGCTGTCATCGGCTGAACTAATTTAGCGTTCAGGAGTTAGAGTTAACGATTGTACATACGATGGTGATTAGTCAATAAGGAAATGGATACGTATCGATGGGGCGATTAGGCGACTAGGCGGTCAGCCGAGTAGGCGGGTAGGCGACTAGGCGAGTAGGCAATTGGGCGACCGCTCATTCGCAACAAATCAATACGTACTCTTTTCTTTTCACCTACTCGCCCACTCGCCTAATCGCCTTCACAATCGCCAACTCTAAACGCTACCGCGTGTTTGAATGTAGCTTATCCATTGTATCAATTATGCATTTCTAGCCGCCATCAGATACCACTTCACCTGCAATAACGCCACCACAGCCAAAAGCTATTTCCCAAAAGGACAAAAAAGGAACACCACCTGTGAGTTTTAGATGGATTATTTTTGGGATTAGATTGGATTAGGAGACTAAGGAATAGGAAAAATATGAAAATGAGGAAGGGATACCTATCGAGTAGGCGACTTGGCAAGTAGGCGATTAAGCGACCGCTCAATGGGTGGCGCCAAATCGGAAAGTATCCTTCTCTTATCGCTAACTCTCCTAATGGCCTACTCGCCTAATCGTCTAAGCGATACGTGCACTTTCAAGTCATCTCTTAATCGCATGTACGATCGCCAACTCAACGTTACCTAACAGTTGTGGGCAGGCCAAGGATTAAAAGAGGATTCCGCGATAAGAACGAAGGGTGGAGCAGCGAAAATTACCTAATGGAGAAAGAGACGGACTCCCTAAGTGTGCGGGGCTTCTTTTAAACGTTGGGTCCCGCCACTTCCAAGCAGTGTCGAGTCGCTGGTACATCGTTCGACTCGCTGGTACATAGTTCGACTCGCTGGTGCATCGTTCGATTCGCTGGCGCAAAGTTCGATTCGCTGTGCAACGTTCGATTCGCTAGCGAATCGCTCGATCGCAAACCATGACATCGGCCACAGCGCTCTTGATTCCCGTGGCGATGTGAAGGCTTGGTTGCTATCTATGATAATGTTGCGATGAATCTTTCCTTAGTGACCTGAAGAGCGAGCTTCACAGACTATCAGATAGTTGCTCCGAAACAGCTAGTGCGTTTTCAAGTCGGCGGCGTTGTCTAAACTTCGCTTTTCAACCGGAAGATGCTACCATTCACGTAGCTGCTTCAACTACTGACCGACCGGTATCCATTCCCAAAAC